GTGCTCCTTAAAAATCCACCCGCACAATATTGGGGCTGTGCAGGTACACAAAAAGGCCTGGAAAGTGGTTATAAGCCCATGTTACGGGTCACGGAATATATAATTAGAATCGCGGAAATATATAACACAGTGTTTCCAGTTTTCTGTGTTTCCATGTTTCTATGTTTCTTATTTCTATGGTTCTAGTTTCTATGTTTCCAGGTTTCTACGTTTCTGTGTTTCTACGTTTCTACGTTTCTACGTTTCTACGTTTCTGTGTTTCTGTGTTTCCATGTTTCTGTGTTTCTGTGTTTCTGTGTTTCTACATTTCTACGTTTCTGTGTTTCTATGTTTCTATGTTTCTATGTTTCTCATGGCCAGAAAATTCGGACATAATTAACATTCTACTTCCGCCTAAATTTGCATATGGTGTCAAAATAAAGCTTCGCGAGTTTATAGTAAACTGTAATGTGCACAGTACTAAACGCTATAAATACAGCTTTAGGTGGTCGATTATAATTTGCCTTAATTGCTCGTTGCAGAGAAAGTTAATCTTAATATTTTGAGACAGTATTTCAAAATGTTTTATCAGTATTCGTCCTGCATTTTCAAAACAAAGTTTTGGTCATTTATCACGTTGAATACCATATAAAACGAAAACCGTAATAGCGTACAAATAAAATAAAAATGCAGAGCCGACATAAACCTTTACCAGCAAAATATTACCTCAGGATCTTTAATATGACACGAATTACAAGAAACAACCAGGGCAAATTGCAAAGATGCAATGGTTTTCCTTAATTTTGCGAAATTTAAGAATGCGCAATATAATTTTTAGTTCTGCAAACGAATAATATTTGAACAGATATGCAAATTTGCTACGGCAATCTGCATATTCCATGTCCGCAATTTCTGGCCATGATGTTTCTATGTTTCTATGTTTCTATGTTTCTATGTTTCTATGTTTCTATGTTTCTATGTTTCTATGTTTCTATGTTTCTATGTTTCTATGTTTCTATGTTTCTATGTTTCTATGTTTCTATGTTTCTATGTTTCTATGTTTCTATGTTTCTATGTTTCTATGTTTCTATGTTTCTATGTTTCTATGTTTCTATGTTTCTATGTTTCTATGTTTCTATGTTTCTATGTTTCTATGTTTCTATGTTTCTATGTTTCTATGTTTCTATGTTTCTATGTTTCTATGTTTCTATGTTTCTATGTTTCTATGTTTCTATGTTTCTATGTTTCTATGTTTCTATGTTTCTATGTTTCTATGTTTCTATGTTTCTATGTTTCTATGTTTCTATGTTTCTATGTTTCTATGTTTCTATGTTTCTATGTTTCTATGTTTCTATGTTTCTATGTTTCTATGTTTCTATGTTTCTATGTTTCTATGTTTCTACGTTTCTGTGTTTCTATGTTTCTGTGTTTCTATGTTTCTACATTTCTATGTTTCTACGTTTCTGTGTTTCTGTGTTTCTGTGTTTCTGTGTTTCTGTGTTTCTACGTTTCTACGTTTCTGTGTTTCTGTGTTTCCATGTTTCCATGTTTCTGTGTTTCTACATTTCTACGTTTCTACGTTTCTACGTTTCTGTGTTTCTACGTTTCTGTGTTTCTGTGTTTCTATGTTTCTCTGTTTCTATGTTTCTGTGTTTCTACATTTCCACGTTTCTGTGTTTCTACATTTCTATGTTTCTACGTTTCTGTGTTTCTGTGTTTCTATGTTTCTATGTTTCTACGTTTCTGTGTTTCTACATTTCTATGTTTCTCATGTTTCTGTGTTTCTATGTTTCTGTGTTTCTACATTTCTACGTTTCTACGTTTCTGTGTTTCTGTGTTTCTACATTTCTATGTTTCTATGTTTCTGTGTTTCTATGTTTCTATGTTTCTATGTTTCTATATTTCTGTGTTTCTGTGTTTCTGTGTTTCTGTGTGTGTTTCTGTGTTTCTGTGTTTCTGTGTTTCTGTGTTTCTGTGTTTCTGTGTTTCTGTGTTTCTGTGTTTCTGTGTTTCTGCATTTCTATGTTTCTAGGTTTCTGTGTTTCCATGTTTCTGTGTTTCTGTGTTTCTGTGTTTCTACGTTTCTATGTTTCTGTGTTTCTATGTTTCTGTGTTTCCATGTTTCTGTGTTTCTGTGTTTCTATGTTTCTGTGTTTCTACATTTCTACGTTTCTACGTTTCTGTGTTTCTGTGTTTCTACATTTCTATGTTTCTATGTTTCTGTGTTTCTATGTTTCTATGTTTCTATGTTTCTATATTTCTGTGTTTCTGTGTTTCTGTGTTTCTGTGTTTCTGTGTTTCTGTGTTTCTGTGTTTCTGTGTTTCTGTGTTTCTGTGTTTCTGTGTTTCTGTGTTTCTGTGTTTCTGTGTTTCTACATTTCTATGTTTCTAGGTTTCTGTGTTTCCATGTTTCTGTGTTTCTGTGTTTCTGTGTTTCTGTGTTTCTACGTTTCTATGTTTCTGTGTTTCTATGTTTCTGTGTTTCCATGTTTCTGTGTTTCTGTGTTTCTGTGTTTCTGTGTTTCTACGTTTCTGTGTTTCTATGTTTCTATGTTTCCATGTTTCTATGTTTCTATGTTTCTGTGTTTCTTTGTTTCTGTGTTTCTACATTTCTACGTTTCTGTGTTTCTGTGTTTCTACATTTCTATGTTTCTGTGTTTCTGTGTTTCTGTGTTTCTGTGTTTCTGTGTTTCTATGTTTCTATGTTTCTATATTTCTGTGTTTCTGTGTTTCTGTGTTTCTGTGTTTCTGTGTTTCTGTGTTTCTACATTTCTACGTTTCTGTGTTTCTGTGTTTCTACATTTCTATGTTTCTGTGTTTCTGTGTTTCTGTGTTTCTGTGTTTCTGTGTTTCTGTGTTTCTATGTTTCTATGTTTCTATATTTCTGTGTTTCTGTGTTTCTGTGTTTCTGTGTTTCTGTGTTTCTGTGTTTCTGTGTTTCTGTGTTTCTATGTTTCTACGTTTCTGTGTTTCTGTGTTTCCATGTTTCTGTGTTTCTGTGTTTCTACATTTCTACGTTTCTGTGTTTCTATGTTTCTATGTTTCTATGTTTCTATGTTTCTATGTTTCTATGTTTCTATGTTTCTATGTTTCTATGTTTCTATGTTTCTATGTTTCTATGTTTCTGTGTTTCTACATTTCTATGTTTCTACGTTTCTGTGTTTCTGTGTTTCTATGTTTCTGTGTTTCTGTGTTTCTATGTTTCTATGTTTCTGTGTTTCTACATTTCTACGTTTCTGTGTTTCTACATTTCTATGTTTCTACGTTTCTGTGTTTCTATGTTTCTGTGTTTCTGTGTTTCTGTGTTTCTATGTTTCTCTGTTTCTACGTTTCTGTGTTTCTATGTTTCCATGTTTCTATGTTTCTATGTTTCTGTGTTTCTACATTTCTACGTTTCTACGTTTCTGTGTTTCTGTGTTTCTGTGTTTCTACATTTCTATGTTTCTATGTTTCTGTGTTTCTGTGTTTCTGTGTTTCTATGTTTCTATGTTTCTACATTTCTACGTTTCTGTGTTTCTACATTTCTATGTTTCTACGTTTCTGTGTTTCTACGTTTCTGTGTTTCTGTGTTTCTACATGTTTCTATGTTTCTGTGTTTCTGTGTTTCTATGTTTCTATGTTTCTATATTTCTGTGTTTCTGTGTTTCTGTGTTTCTGTGTTTCTGTGTTTCTGTGTTTCTGTGTTTCTGTGTTTCTGTGTTTCTGTGTTTCTGTGTTTCTATGTTTCTACGTTTCTGTGTTTCTGTGTTTCCATGTTTCTGTGTTTCTACATTTCTACGTTTCTACGTTTCTGTGTTTCTATGTTTCTATGTTTCTATGTTTCTATGTTTCTATGTTTCTATGTTTCTATGTTTCTATGTTTCTATGTTTCTATGTTTCTATGTTTCTATGTTTCTATGTTTCTATGTTTCTATGTTTCTATGTTTCTATGTTTCTATGTTTCTATGTTTCTATGTTTCTATGTTTCTACGTTTCTGTGTTTCTGTGTTTCTATGTTTCTGTGTTTCTATGTTTCTATGTTTCTGTGTTTCTACATTTCTACGTTTCTGTGTTTCTACATTTCTATGTTTCTACGTTTCTGTGTTTCTATGTTTCTGTGTTTCTGTGTTTCCATGTTTCTATGTTTCTTACTTCTATGGTTCTAGTTTCTATGTTTCCAGGTTTCTACGTTTCTGTGTTTCTATGTTTCTGTGTTTCTGTGTTTCTGTGTTTCTGTGTTTCTGTGTTTCTGTGTTTCTGTGTTTCTGTGTTTCTGTGTTTCTGTGTTTCTGTGTTTCTGTGTTTCTGTGTTTCTACATTTCTATGTTTCTGTGTTTCTGTGTTTCTATGTTTCTATGTTTCTATGTTTCTATGTTTCTATGTTTCTGTGTTTCTACGTTTCTACGTTTCTGTGTTTCTACATTTCTATGTTTCTGCATGTTTCTGTGTTTCTGCGTTTCTATGTTTCTATGTTTCTATGTTTCTGTGTTTCTGTGTTTCTATGTTTCTATGTTTCTGTGTTTCTATGTTTCTGTGTTTCCATGATTCCATGTTTCCATGTTTCTGTGTTTCTATGTTTCTATGTTTCTGTGTTTCAGTGTTTCTGTGTTCGTTTTCACTTATTCTTTTCTTGAAACATTTTATTCTTCAAAACCGTTACGGCTACTTTAGTCTGATTTAGATGATCATCGATCTGCCAGATAAGTTTATATTTAATAAATGTTTTTTACATTTGATTTTTCCCTGATAAAGGCATAATTACATAAACACTCTGCCCATTATAGGTAATTGTCTAATAATACAGCCGTAACAATTAATTAACAATCTTAACAATGAGTTATAATAAAAAAAAGTAAAATGTCATTTGGCATTTTTTCGTCTTTTGCGTTTGCTTGGCCTGTCATTCTTCGACAAGGCGTCTGTTAATTTTTTCATCTCTCGTTTTGATCGGTCCGATTTACCTAAAATATATGATATTTTTAGTTTAGAAAAAGAAGATTTATAACGATTGGTATAAATATTAGATTTCCGATCGGTTACCCCTGTCATTTTCACTCATATCTATCGTCGTTTCTGTTTCTTCATTTTCGTCTTCATTGGATCCAGTTGACATTTGTGTTTGTCTGCACACTACAGTAAATAATCGAAGCAGGAAAACTTTTAAATAAAATACGAATAATATCTTTTGAAGCATCCGACATTGCATTGATGACACGACAGACACGTATTTTCAAAATGAAATACATCCCCAACACACACGTCAGAAAATGGCACTCAACAAAGCGTGAAAACATTCATGCATTTAGTATATATAGAACTATAGTTTTATTATACGGTTTTATGATACAAATACTAGATTTCCAATCGGTTACTTGTGTCATGCTCACTCATATCTATCGTCGTTTTGTTTCTTTATTTTCGTCTTCAATGGATCCAATTGACATTTGAGTTTGTCTGCCCACTACAGTAAATAATCGAAGCAGGAAAACTTTAAAATAAAATACGAATAATATCTCTTGAAGCATCCGACATTGCATTGATGACACGACAGACACGTATTATCAAAATGAAATACACCCCCAACACACACGTCAGGAAATGGCACTCAACAAAGCGTGAAAACATTCATGCATTTAGTATATATAGAACTATTGTTTTATTATACAGTTTTATGATACAAATACTAGATTTTTGATCGGTTACCTGTGTCATGCTCACTCATATCTATCGTCGTTTCTGTTTCTTTATTTTCGTCTTCAATGGATCCAATAGACATTTGAGTTTGTCTGCCCACTACAGTAAATAATCGAAGCAGGAAAACTTTTAAATAAAATACCAAAAATATCTCTTTCAAAATGAAATACACCCCCAACACACACGTCAGAAAATGGCACTCAACAAAGCGTGAAAACATTCATGCATTTAGTATATATAGAACTATGTTTTATTATACGGTTTTAGGATACAAATACTAGATTTTTGATCGGTTACCTGTGTCATGCTCACTCATGTCAGTTGCAGTTCCTTCATTTTCATCTTCATCAGACAAACCTTTAATAAATTATACATGACAACGATTTAAGGTCATTGTTCCTATTCATATTTTGCAGCAATTTAAAAATTTTTGTCAAAATAGATTTTGTACAGGGAATAATTGCAGTATGGGATTTATGTTGCTTACATTCCTCCGCTTTCTTGTCACCGGAACCAATTTCTTGTGGCAATGTGTCAAGCTTCAGACCTTTGAGAACTGTAACAAATCATTTAGAATGTTCTAATTTGTTTGTTTCCACACGAATGGCAACGAGCATGCGAATACATTGTGAAAACAATAGATATTGGGATATCTTGAGTGCATGAAACACTGAGTTTCTTGTGTTTTTAAACGTACTTTAAAATACCAACTTGAATTAGAAATCAATTTGAACATATAATATATATGTGTTATATATTTTTTTTAACTTATACAACTCCGTCGTAAACCAACCTTGTAACACCTGGTGCTTCAGGGGTACTGTGAACGATGCCAATGGAATTGACAAACAACCAGCCTTTTGTTTTTTTCCGTCCTGATTTAAGAAATAAGATGTGTCTCGATCCTGCCCTCCTTCTTTCACGACTGCTTTTTTTAGTTCGCTTTTGTCTACTATGATTGGCTGACCACCATCGTCCGGAATGCTTTCTATCCGTATAGCGATACTGCTAGGCTCCTTATCACCCACCTTTTTCTTTTCTCTGGCAAATTTACTGATCTAAAGATAAGAAAGAAGCTCATCAATCTTTTGCTGAATTTACTGAAGGTTAACATTTTTTAACAAAAGTTAATTTTCATTACTGAAATATTTGTATTAATTCGTGCAATTTTGAACTATTGATGTTTAAATGAAGTACTGTTTTGAAAATGACTGCATGAAATTATCAATTTATCATAAAAGAGTTTTATTTTTCTATAGTCACATGTAACCGACTATTGGGCAGATACCGGATCACAATCTAAGTTCATTCTTCGAAAATTCATGTATCAGAAACATGCATCGAACGGATACTTACACATTCTTCGGAATAGTCTTTACACCTGCCCACAAACCACTGCCCGAATGCATTTATGATTTCGCTGGAAGACGATGATCCTGTATCATCCGGAATTGTTGATGATGAACGGGAGTTTTCCTTGGAAACAGGTTTTATCAACTAGAAGATAGAAAAAAAAAAAAAATATATATATATATATATATATATATATATATATATATATATATATATATATATATATATATATATATATATACATACCGTCATAAAGGCCTTTCGCTGATCTCCAAAATATTCCATGACTGCCTCTGCAATACTTAATATGTTTCGCGGAATCTCCTTTTCAATATCACATTCTTCGCCGTCTTTCTCATTGTCAATAAAATGACTGAGGACAGACAAGAGGACGTGGAGAACGCATGATATCCTAGAAAATATACGTTTCAAAATTGGGCTTAAATTGGATGGTTAATGTTAATAATGATGAGGCTTGAAATTAATATATCCATACAGGTTACGCCCTGATTGGCTTTTTTCTAATAATAATGATGCTTTTAGCTTTATTTCATCAACTGAAGATGTCCCACGAGCGCTGTTTCATCTAAATTGGTTCCGCAATTTTAAGGTGTTCCGGTAATAGAATGGTATTTTAAATATCGTATTCGAGTGTTCAATACCGCATTGCCTGCATAATAGTTATTATACCTTATAAAATTTTTTTTGTCCTTGGAAAAGTTCTCCGTACAAATGCTTTCTTCATCCCACTGGGCATTCATATTCTTGGAGAGATTATTGGCGTACTCAGTATACTTCTCTTTTGCCTCAGGTGAGTAACAATACTCGACACCGTTCTCATGCTTGTCGAATATTGTCTTATATACGCCTGAAAAAAAAATTGTTGGTTATTTCGAGTAAAGTTTACATACATACAACATACCTATATGCATAAAAACATACATACACCGGCACGGCATAAATGCATACATACATAGGCGACTCACCGGAGAACTCTTGTGTAGTGTATTCTTCCAGTTTTTCACACCATTGTTCCACTTCTTCTTCGAGTAACAAGCGAGGTTTTATTGAACATATCAAAATTCTATCAAGAAACCCATCCTTGGTTTTGGCTAGGGGTTTAAACAGCTGCAGAAATGGTTCGGGCTGAGTGAACCCACCAAGGGCCAAAGTGCTTTCTAGAAGGACCTCACGCCGCTCCCGTTTCTCGACTTTACCAGCGGAACTGCTGTTATTCGTGCACGCACTTGTTAGTGCCCATTCAGCAATGCCATCGTAAAGCCTGCAAAATAACTGTCTCTCACCTGAGCCCTCTTGTTGCTTCTTCAAAATGAATTCGTAAAACGAACTCATTTCAGAATGAGCCAATAGAGCTCTACCATCGTGAGAGACGAGGTGCTGGAAGAGTCCTTTCCGCGTGAAGTCATGGATGACCATCGAATGAGCTGGCTCCTTCAACGCGCGGATTGGACTCTCCACAGCAATCTCAAACGCTTGCGATTTTCCGGCCCCAGGTTCACTCAAACACACGGTAAACAGATTGCACGGCTCCCGATAACGGTTCCGAATCTTTAATTTAGTTTTCGGACCCATCAAAGTGGACACAACCGAAATAGCCGCAATCAATATGAATTCTGGCCGTGTGTTCACGGAAAATGCCAATGCCATCAGCCATTCAGTTATTGGCTCCGGGAAAACTTCCAGTGGGAATTTAATCGCCCGAGCCATCTTGATGGCGTTCGCGAGCTGGCATTCATTCACAGCGGGCGTGGTAATTGGAAATATCGTTCTTCTCGAAGACATCATAAAAATCTACAATAAAAATATTCGCTATTATATAGTAATCACAGTGACCGACTCCCAGAAGTCAAATCTAGTAGTTGACGAACGTTTTACAACAATTTTGTGTCCTTTGGTTATACGGAGTTAAACTTTTAATCACTATTCTAAAAGCTCGGTCATAATTCTCGCCGATGTTCAGTCTTTTAATGGTGCGGAAACTACAATAACATATAACAAAGTCTCTTTTCCAAATTTATTGTATGTCCGGAATTTTTTTTTAGGGCCCGACCGCAAATTTAAAATGGTGCATATACATTATATAGCTAGCCTAAAATTTATGTTGTTCGAGCTGCTATTTATAGGTACTAACTTTAGAACCTTACCTCTTTACAAGCGATTAGAAAAGGAGCGTAGCTTTTACAAACATACAAGTCAACCAAACTATAAAACAGAAGAATGTTGAATAAGGTTTAGAAGCTGCGAAAACTACACATTTTACTGGACATTAATGTAGAAAAGTTGCCTGACATATCCTTACCTTTCGAAGTGTACAATTGAAGGATACTGCAAATGGCGCGGGTTTTATAACAGTGAGAGCTGTCAAATTTTGTCTGCATTATTTCGAAACTGTATTATTCAATTAGCAATTATTAAAAGGTGTGTGTTCGCACGTCCTCGACTAATCCTCTTATAGATCTTTTAGATTATGGCGGATTAATTTTGTAAAATCATGAACGCCAATTCAAAAATCGTGTTATATTTCTGGGGAGCTTGAATGCGCGCATCATGCAAATTTAGTCTAGTTGCATTCGAATATCGTCTGTGGAAATTTTCCTGATCACCGTTCTCCTACATAATGATATAACGATTACTACATATTTTATAATGATTAGTGTAGTATTTTATCGAATCTAATAACTTGCAATGCTGTGTTTCTTTCGAAAACCTTCATTTGTCAAACTCCATCGCACCGTTTGTACTTAATTGTGCACTTGCATTAAAACCACGAAATACGTGTGCGCTTACTATGATATAAAACAAAATATTTACGAAGAAAATACGAAATTTATGTGATTTTATAAATAGACTCAGTTATGGCAAGGTGTACCCCCAAGGAGACACGCCTTGCCGACGATAATTACAACTCTGGTATGAGAACTTGGTGCCCTATCTAAAAGACCGACAGGTAATGGAGCGAATGCAATATAAAAAAAGGTGGTTAATGGCCAGCAGCAATTTGAAAACTAACAAGACCGAATACCCAAAACACAATCGGTCAGTGTAAGCGTGACATCGCAGAAAATAGAGCTCGTTTAAAGTTCAACCCACCTCCTCCACTAGCAATTATGCAAATTGCATGATTTGCAATAGCTGATACATAGAGGACCTCAATTGACAATTATAGAATATCTCAATTAACTATTTTACTTCAGGCGTACTTGTACAGGTGCTGGCGGTAATTCACCTCCACCCTTTTCTGAGCATGAATATTTGGAATTTTGTTGGAATGTATTCATATGAATATCATCTTGTTTGACGGAAATAAACCGGCTAGGAAACCATTACTTCCAGCCAAAATTATCCTAAAATTGTGTGAGATTTAATGTGTCAGTATTGATGCTCAGAAAACTGAGCTGCGGTGAGGGCTATGCAAAATCCATGGCTTGCAATATTTCTATACGTAAATAAATCACATTAACTAATACAAAATATTTACGAAGAAAATACGAAATTTATATAATGTGATTTTATAAATAGACTCAGTTATGGCAAGGTGTACCCCCAAGGAGACACGCCTTGCCGACGATAATTACAACTCTGGTATGAGAACTTGGTGCCCTATCTAAAAGACCGACAGGTAATGGAGCGAATGCAATATAAAAAAAGGTGGTTAATGGCCAGCAGCAATTTGAAAACTAACAAGACCGAATACCCAAAACACAATCGGTCAGTGTAAGCGTGACATCGCAGAAAATAGAGCTCGTTTAAAGTTCAACCCACCTCCTCCTCTAGCAATTATGCAAATTGCATGATTTGCAATAGCTGATACATAGAGGACCTCAATTGACAATTATAGAATATCTCAATTAACTATTTTACTTCAGGCGTACTTGTACAGGTGCTGGCGGTAATTCACCTCCACCCTTTTCTGAGCATGAATATTTGGAATTTTGTTGGAATGTATTCATATAAATATCATCTTGTTTGACGGAAATAAACCGGCTGGGAAACCATTACTTCCAGCCAAAATTATCCTAAAATTGTGTGAGATTTAATGTGTCAGTATTGATGCTCAGAAAACTGAGCTGCGGTGAGGGCTATGCAAAATCCATGGCTTGCAATATTTCTATACGTAAATAAATCACATTAACTAATACAAAATATTTACGAAGAAAATACGAAATTTATATAATGTGATTTTATAAATAGACTCAGTTATGGCAAGGTGTACCCCCAAGGAGACACGCCTTGCCGACGATAATTACAACTCTGATATGAGAACTTGGTGCCCTATCTAAAAGACCGACAGGTAATGGAGCAAATGCAATATAAAAAAAGGTGGTCAATGGCCAGCAGCAATTTGTGTGTCGACGCCAATGGAATCTTTAATTTAACCAGATTATTCCCATTTCCGTATATGCAGCATAAATAGATGATATAAAAACGATAAAAATGGTTATTCATGTATAATGAAAACACAACGATCAGGATGAAAGCGTTCTATTTTTGTTCACTTATTATCGTTCTATTGTCAATAGCGAAGCCTACGTTAACTGTGGGGTACGATATCAATGGATATGTCAAAAAATGCATCGAGTCTGCAACCAAAGCTGCTGATCTTAAATACCATACGGAGCATACTATGGAACCCCCTGATATCAGGTACGATATATTTCCAAGTTTGGATGAAACGTGGGTAAATGATCCAAAGTCGTATTGTGTCCTTCCGTACATTCTTTTTGACCCTCTGTGCCAATTTAATGCTTTACTTGAAGGAAATACAATACTTTGTCCTAAGTGTGAAACAGACGATAAAATGTGTGAAAATAATCGAAAGGGTCACCTAGTTAACACAGGAGTTTGGAAAAATGGGCGACTGCAAAGACTAAATCCGCGTATCATATTTGGCCTTACCTCTCCCGTATTACTGGTATACAAGCAGTACTCATGTGATCTAGGCCATACTGAAATAAATAGCATAGATGTGGACGTCGTAAAACAAGTGAATAACTATAATGTACCATTCACTTTAAGTCATAAGTCAGGTTTCACAAATCGACTTGTCGATTATCTGGAAGAGCTACTTGATGCAGGTCTTAGCTCTAATCAGATCTGCGAAATTATACAGCGATGTTACAAAAAAGCATTTTATGAACGAGCGCAACGTTATTACCGTGATCATAACATTGCTATAAACATTGGCCTAACAAAAGAAGTAAGTCAAAATTTCCCAACGTTCGAACAAATGGACCTACCATGCGTAGGACATACGCTAGTTGGGGGTGCAATCATTTCCAGATTTAAGTCAGAAGAAGTATTTTATCGGCATTTTTTTTCAACAATTCCTGCAAGATGGATTAGTTGCGATCACACATTTAAAGCAACTTCGAATATCGGATATTTACGCGAAAGTGATAATAAGTGGGTAAAATTATTTCAAAGCCTATTTTGCGTATTAAATGAAAAAGGCACAGTTATCCAGTGGAAATTTACTAAAACGGAAGGAACAGCTGAGCTTGAAAATTTGTTTCAACAACTTTCGAAAAGATTTCTGACACAAAATAACATTTTAGAAGGAATATTCCTCGATAACTGTTGCAAATGGACATCATTTTTAAGCAAGCATTTTCCCGGTGTACCCATTAAGCTAGACATATTCCACGCAGTGCAAAGATTAGTGCGTAAAATACCAAAGTGTTCGAAATACTCGTCTGGCATGGCTAAAGAATATGGCTTAGTTTTCCGTCAACCAGGAGACATCGGGAAAAAAAGGTCTAGGCCTTCGCCTTCGCCTGACGTTATTTCGAAAAACTTAGAAAAATTTAGCAATAAATGGGAATCTGTAAAAAATGCAGCTGGATTGAGTGTTCTTACTAAAGAAATGTTGAAGGAAATAAAAAACATTCAGGTTCACATAAATAAGGGTTGTTTGTCGGACATACCTGTTGGGTGTGGAACAAACAAAAATGAAAGGCTTCATAGGGATTTAAAGAAAATTGTTGCAACCAACCGCATAGGGCTTCCATTGTTATATACGAAAATGTTTAGAATGTTGTACAGGTTGGCCCAAGAAAACGAGAAAGAAATGTCATCTATCCAAGTGACAAAAACTCAAAAGAATGAACACATTCTGATAACTGAATATGGACAAAAATTAGAATATTTTGGAGTAGAAAGGTGTCTGGAAGAGATAGAGAGATCCGAAAACAATCAACGACCAGCACGCAAGGTTAAGGGACTTGAAAGTTATTCGCGTAAGGAAGTAGAAGAAATTTTGGATGGCATTTCCATTTTGCAAAGGAATATCAAATGTAAATGGATTGTGGCCGAACATGACTACTCGGAAAGATCTGAGAAGGAAGAGTACGACACATTGGAGTACTTAAAGCAAGGGCTATCATTTTGGAGATCATCCGAATCTATCAGGGAGATAGTTGGAAAGCGAAAAAAATCTATGCACGTACCTTGCCAACAGAGGTGCCACGTCATCTTCTCACCACGAAACAAGTACAACAAGACAGCTCTGTGGAAACCATCGAGCAAGAAATTAACTCCATCGCAAGCCAGTGGGGTCTAGAAGTCGTCAGAATTGCAGGAGATGGGAACTGCTTTTTTAATTCAGTCGCATTTCAAGTTTCGCAGTTATTGAGTAGATGTGATTTGCAGACGCATGTTAGAGAGCATTTGTATACTTTGGGGATCTCATCAGCAGTCTCTGTTCCCGCAATAAGTGATATTTTGCGAAGCCATCTTGTCGCAGAGTGGACAGGACCTTTCACTGAAGAATACCAGCAATTTGT